TTTGGGACTGAAGTACTCGTCCAGTGCTTTGAGTATTGGTTTGATTGCATTCCATGTATTGCCTCTCATGTCGAGTATTACACAAAACTCTTTGCTTTTGGACTCATCGCTACATTTAGGACACATTCACGATTCAGATCACATCACATGTCAACTCAAATCAATACAAACCTCGGAATACTCGCTAAATATGTGAGTAATGGTCGCAAGTCTTCGGCGCTCAGCTTCTCTGGACGTGTTTTGGATGGAAACAACAGTATTGGACCACCTCTTAGATCACGACCTCCTGAGTGACCAATCAGTGAACCATTCATTACAACACTTTTCATATAGCATTTGAATCAATGGTGAAATACCTGAGAGAACGGCTATTCTCTGCTCAAGGAGTGGAAGAATATCTTTGGCTTTTGGACCCATTCTTATCAATTCTAATGACAATTAAATCAAACAAATGATTGAAACAAATGAATGGATTGATGGACACAACAAAACAAATGAAAACCTCAATCAATATATGAATAAATTGTTGACATTTATAAACATAAAGACATAATAATAATGAAACCAAATATCAAACAAATGGTTAAATAAAAGACACAATCAATGAAATGATGTCCAATTGGATCAAATCAACACCTGGTCTACACTTAACCACATTGTGGTCACCAGTACTGTCACCACTGGAGTAATCGGTGGTCGACTCAGTTGTGCTCATAATTGTTGACAATTACATGGATTGACACTCAATGGAAATCCAGTGTAAATGAAGTGTAAATGAAGTGATAATACGTTAATCACATAATCAGTCAATTGCTGTGAATGTCATTCAAATGTGTTTACAATAAACACAAACAAAACATTTGTTTTCATAGAATTGAGTCAATCTTTGGGAGCAATAGTTGTTTGGTTTCTATGACAACAGCATTCACTCAATCGGTGATACAAACCACACAAACGTTGTGTTCATTTGTCTGGTAATCGCTAATCGTAAGGATCTGCTGTCGACAATGTCTGCCACCACTATCACCAACCCATCAACACTGCTGCCATTAGGTCTGTATGTTATGTCACTGTCACCGTCACCCTAACCACCGATGGTGTGTCTGTAGAGTTGATCGACAAGTGCATCGGTTCTCGCATTCATATAATTATGCGAAACGATAAGGAAATCGTTGGCACTCTTCTGGGGTTCGACGACTTCGTCAGTAAGTATTGCCACCATTTGTCACGACAATTGTCTTATTGTCCACTCATTGCAATAGATATGGTCTTAGAAGATGTGACTGAATAGTAAGTGAATCATTGGTTTGTGTTTGTATTGAAACACCATTTGATTTGATTGGACAGCGAGAGTACACCCGAAGGACGTCGAGTCACCAAATTGGACCAAATCTTATTGAATGGAAACAACATAACTATGGTATGTATGGTATGGTGTGAACACTTGGTTCATATGATCTAATGATGCATTCATTGGTCAGATGGTTCCCGGAGGAGAGATGCCCGACAACTAACCACTTATTCATGCCTTCCATCATCACTACTATTATTCATGTTTTGCAGTAAATTTCAATTTAGTTAACAATCATTTCATTGATAACTATTTTTACAGATTATTTCAATATTAGTTATTTGAATAAACTATCAAATGTGATGAAATATAGTATTTGTTATAAATGCCATCAAATGTTATGTTATTGTTTGGGTTAAACACGAATCTCTAAGACATACAATTGATATAATGAACCATTAGTTATGTCTGACTGTAATGTGAGATGTGGTCATCGTTTAGGTCTTGAATATCCTTTACTTGCGGATCATTGCAAACATAACCGGTGGACAACTTTTGCCAATTAAATGCTCCAAAAGGATAATCCAATCCTAATCCTCTGTTCACTGTTTTATATCCCCCTATTTGCCGGTTTGTCAAAATATTGTTATTAATCAGAAATCTACCAAGGTAACTGCGCAATTTAAGTTTGCAAAATAGATGTTTTTTGGAGTAATTAATTTTTGTCGCAAAAAAGTTGTTACCTCCACCGGTTATATCGGTAATCAAATGTATGTCATAATACTATACTAGTTACAGCATTTTGAGTCGAAATATGGTTAGATTACCATGGTCATGTTTATGTTCATAAAATCTAACTTCAGATTCTGTATACGATTCTGTCATGAATGTGGATTTGACAATGTTCAGGTACAATTATTGTATGATTTGCATACGTATTGTATGGATAGAGTAGTCGTCAAAACAATCTGAACATGAATTCACAGGTTTTGAAACCAAAACTTTTATTGAATGGTATTTTCGGGGTTTGCAAACACAGGGCAGACAGTGTTGAGGACTACAAGACATGGATCAGACTCACCCACTATCAGGGTATACATGACATCTCATAAATAGCTCAATACATGACACCCACTGTTATACCGATAGAGAGCCGGTTGGACATGTCGTCGAAGCACTGGAACTCCCCGGCGGTCATTGTCGACATAACCCCCAGATATATGGAACCGTTCACTACTGGTGTCCTCTGTGTTGGTATCGGCTATTGGTCCACAAGACTCACAGCTCTGACCAAATTCTGGGAACACGTGAGTCACTCATTGGATCTAATCTTTGAGTTGATTTTTGAAGATTAGTTTCTGTTTGTGAAGGAATGGACAGCTTGTGTCCAATTGGGGGCACAGACATCACACTGGGGTCCAGACGCACACATTGTTCATGAAATGCCNTTAGTTTCTGTTTGTGAAGGAATGGACAGCTTGTGTCCAATTGGGGGCACAGACATCACACTGGGGTCCAGACGCACACATTGTTCATGAAATGCCTTTCAGTGAGTATTCAGTTCTTCATATGAGACCAATTCATAAAAGACTTTAAAGTCGAGTAACATATCTGTTGGTAAACTTTGAGATCATATCAATGAAGAGCTATTGAAGCAAACGATCCGCGAATTCATTGGAGCGAAGGAACAGCTGAATCCTCCGCTCGTATCTAAAGAACATCTTTTACTGCCAAAGGATGGCAAGAGAAGGACTCCTCCGACAGTCCAGAGTGAGCCCACACCTCGACTAAGAGAGTGTCACAGCATTGATATATTGAGTTGGAAACCACCGGAACTGAAACTTCGTGTCATTACTGATGGATACTTCTCTGTCCGCACATTTGCTCACGACTTAGGTCTCAAACTCTCGAGTTGTGCCCATTTGACTGACTTATGTCTTAACAGAATGGGTGTTATTACCACTGATTTGTGTCTCAAGAAATATGAACTCCATTTGAAACAAATGTCTGAAGCTATTGACAAGTATTCAAAGCTTTGCTCCAAAGATCTGAAGAGATTCTCGGATTTAAAACCAGATAACCGAAGAAGAATTTAAGATTCTTTGAGTCAAATGTTTGCAAATGTTGTTAAATAATGGCATTTATTAAGTGCTAAATTTTATAATTATAAAATTAATCGCTGATATGAAATACATTTAATTTACAAAAGAATTTAAAAATCTAAAAATAGTTAAACGAATGAGTTTTACACATAAAATAATTTATTTGATTTTAGTTGACTCCAAATCATTATATAAATTGAATATTCAAAACATTTATAATACGGTAGTTTGAAATATTTGACAACAAAAGCATTTAAGAAAAAGCTAAACATATTTATCAAAACCTAAAGCTGTGGTGAATATGTTTGGTTTGGATCTAATTGATAGCCAACAGATT